CTAATTGAATCTTATCCAAAATCAACTATGATTGATCACAAATGCGTAAAGTATTATGTGAGTGAATATAATAGAAAACATCCCACAACCATCTAAATCTTTTTGATATGTTAATAACAGAAAAATGATATTAATTACTACGCAATTGAAGATGTGTGATAAGGCCATAAATTAGTAATAGACTAAGGAAAAAAAATCACAAAATCACAATTTCTAATCTACATATTCCTAGCAAATTTTACATAAAGAAGTTTGCATAACTAACCAAATTCTTTGTCCGTTTTCCCTATTTTCCAAAGACGGTATTAAAAAATTCAATGAGCCAAATTATGTCACACTATCTCATTAAGTGATTTTTAAGCCATTAAAACTTTAAAAATTGGGATAAATATGCCACAATTTGGATCATTGTCGAATTTATCCAAGTCTTTGCCTTTTTAAAATTGAGGCCGAAACTTGGCTAGGCTGCTGTACGCCTGTACCCCCCACGTATCTCCCATGCTGGATTCTATGTTATTGTTTCGAGGATTCTCCGACCCCACTCCTTAAGACTCCTCCAAAAAGTCCAAAATCCAAATCCATTCCCCCGCGTTTCTTTCCCCAGTGTCGCCACCCTCCAATTTCCCTTGAAACCCCCATCCCCGTGCCTATAAGTGCCGCCCAGCCCGCCCCGTTCTCCCATTCCACTTGCACCTCTCCTTTCTTCCTTCTCCTCGTCCTCTCCTGTCCACATTCTATCCCCTTCCCACACAAAATCTCTCCATAGAAGATAGTTAGATTTCCATTTGACCCTTTTGTCATTTATTCACGATACACAAAATCCCATCTTTCATTTTTTCCCAACCAAAAATCATACTTAGATAATTGAAAAGAATAAATACCTGATTTTTTTCCCCAACCCAAAAATCCCGTCTTTATATATACCCCACATGATTTTCCCCTTTCTTCTTCACATCAAACCCTAACAAGTACTAGCCTTCGCCCCTTATTTCTCTCTATTCCTTTAACATGTTATAGCCAACCATTCATTATCCCACGCCCTATAAACCACAAAAAGGGAGAAAAATCCAATTTTTTTTTTTTCCATTTTTTCCCAGGTTTTAGACCTAACCCATATCATGGCAATTGCCTATCCACATTATTTGAGTTCCAAGAGCGCACGAAAATCCGTTGAGCCACCGTTGGTGGTGTCAACCCAATCATCGTCCTCGGCTCGGTCTCCGGTTAATAATTTGACCCAAGATGAGCTCAAGAAGATTGCAGCCTATAAGGCTGTTGAGTTTGTCCAATCAGGCATGGTTTTAGGCCTTGGGACAGGCTCTACCGCCAAACATGCGGTGGATCGAATTGCAGAGCTGATGAAATTGGGGAAATTGAAGAACATTGTTGGGATTCCCACCTCGAATATGACCAGGGACCAGGCTGTTTCCTTAGGTATTCCTTTATCTGATCTTGATACTCATCCTATCATTGATATGGCCATTGATGGTGCAGACGAAGTTGACCCGGATATGAATTTGGTTAAGGGAAGGGGAGGTTCATTGCTGAGGGAAAAAATGGTGGAAACTGCGAGTAAGAAGTTTATTGTTATTGTTGATGAATCCAAGCTTGTGAACCACATTGGTGGGAGTGGATTAGCTATGCCTGTTGAGATTGTCCCATTTTGTTGGAAATTTACTCTTAAAAGGCTTGAAATGTTGTTCATGGAAGCTGGTTGCATTGGAAAGCTGAGGATGTTTCCTGGAACTGAAAACCCTTTTGTAACTGATAACGGCAATTATATTATTGATTTGTATTTCAAGAAGGATATTGGTGATTTGAAGGCTGCCAGTGATGCAATTTTGAGGCTTGCTGGTGTTGTTGAGCATGGGATGTTTCTTGATATGGCTACTACTCTGATTGTTGCTGGTGAGCTTGGGGTAACTGTGAGGAATAAATTAACTTGAAGTCAAAGCTGGAGGTAGTTTTCCAGATTTTAGCTTTTAGCTGACACATTAGGATATGTAGGGCGGTCGGGATATCACGTCTTGATTGAATTGGGGGAACTTTTGATGGTTAAATTTATTAATGTAGAAGTGGGAGTTTTATCACTGCTCCTGTATCAATTCTTAAGACATTAAAGTTAATGAATCCACATTTTTCTGATTGAGAATGTCGTTGTTTTCAGTTGATCTTTGGTGCTTGATTCTTTTATGTTTTTGGCTTTGGTTGTAGAAGTAGAATTCAGGTGCCTGAACTATTCAATTGTTAGATGTCCTCAATGGTTGCAGTGGTGCTTTCGAACTGAATTTTTCTCTAGATTTGAATAACACTCAATTAACTAAGCCCAAACTTGTGGATGGAGAAACCAAGTTGAGTATTGACAGACCCAAGGAGTATTAGATTATTTTGCATTAAACAGTTTCCTTTTGAGTACTTCAATGAGATGGCTCTGTTGTAGTGACAGGCTCATGAAATTGGTAATAATTTGAAAGTGAATATAGTGCATCTAATATGAATACATTGTTGAGGAAGTATTTTTTAATTGAAAATAATTTGGAAACGATCTCTTACATAGTTGTTTGTAGTTGTGTCGTGGTTTTCTTGATGTTAGATGTTTTGTCAGTTACTCGTGTTTAACCTTCAGTAGTTTGTATTTTTTTGTTATTGTTGTATGTTCTTTTTGTTGCAGTGCATGTCCCCTTACACACTGGATCTCAATAATTATGTATTGTGGTCCTTCAGTCATGTTTAAACTCATCTGTGTTCCTTAAATTGGTACAGTCTTGTCTCAGAAAACCTTAGTTGGCAATGTTTGCTTTTGGTTGAGTCGAACCATAAATCATATCATGAAGATGATATATTGTTCTGGTAGAGTGCATTTGTCAATGACTAACCTTGCCTGTTGGATTTTTGTTTCTATATAGCTTGTAGCATTATTTTGAAGATTTTACAAGACAAGTGACACACAGGAATCTTAGATGGAATTTCTATTGAAGTGTTGCTATTGCATGTCTCTCTCCTTAATTGATTGTCAATAGCAATCTGCATCCTTACATGATTTAGCATTTGAGGCAACATGTGATTAATTAGGTCATGGAAGCATGTCTTTTTTTCCACCAAAATTCTGTGGAATAGATGCAAGTGCAGTTGTAAATTGACACTGTGTTGGGGTAAAGGCTGATGCATTGACAGATAGATGCTATTATGCCAACTTGCTATTTGACAGCAATCTAGCAGCAGTTGAAATACCCAGTTCCAGTGTTTATGTTTGTTTTTACTGGATCCAGCACTACTGCCTTAAAGGATAGTTTCTTTGACATTTTGTATTTTCTGTGAGCAACTGAAGATGTTAAGACATATGAAGCACCAGTGCTGTGGTAGTTTTTCAAGGTACTTTTCAAGCTTGTTTGATCTCTTTATACACTCCTCAGCCATGGGCTTGGAGGAAGTTATGAAGTATTGTTTGTGTTGAGCTTGTCTGCCCATGACACTTCTCAAATTTGTTCAGTCTCATTTCTATTACTAACTAGCAGAAAACACACAGTGATCTGTAGAAGGTGGCTGGATCGTGCATGAAGAAACAAAAATGTAATATGTCATAAAGCTGAATTTAGCTTTGCTTGCATCTATAATAGAAGTTAATTTAAAACATTAAAATCTCTCAATTGTCTAGTTAAATTCAAAGAAAGGTTCCTGACAATTAATCATTCAAAAATTCATACAATTAAAAAATTAATTCAGACAATGAAGTCAATATAGGTATAATTAACTAGAGCTTAAAGTTTATATTGTTGATGTGCTGCCTGTAGCCCTTTTGAGCTCTGCTGTGATATTTGATTCTATGATATAACCGAGTCAAGAACCATTCTAATTCCCAGAAGATTTCAAAATCCTAAGCTACATGGTCGTAGGAAACTAACTAATTCCTTAAATGCCATGGCTTTAGGAAACTCTGGACTTTATGATATAATAAAGCCAAAACTCCACGACTCTGGGAAAGTTTCCATATAATTACGTCCTGGTAACATCTTGATTAGGGATGGCAATGGGGCGGGTGCCCGCGGGGGGCTCTCGGGGCGGAGGGGAATTTTTTCCCCCCGTTTAGAAACGGGGCGGGGGAGTATACCCCCGCCCCATCCCCCCGCCCCGCCACCGGCAAAAAAAAAATTATATATATATATAATTATATATAATATGTAATTTAATTAGTTATAAACTTATGATAATAATATTATTAGTTAGATGTATTATATAATGTATATTAGTGTATGTAATATAATTGATATTATCAATTATACGAATAATTAGATATGTCTACTAATAGAATTTATTAATTAGTTATACTAAATTTACTAATACATTTATACTAAATTTCTAATTACACTTAATAGAATAACACTTTTTTCTCAAAAAAAAAGCACAAACACAATAATGAATTAGTGATTGTATTTGTACCAAAAGTGAAAACTTAACTATTTTAGTTGTATTTATTTCATCATTTTAGATTGTATTCAAATAACTTTTGTTTGATTGTGTTTATGAGTTTTAATTGTAAAATTAAAATGAATAATAACTTGATGATGTGTTGATATTTTAGTACTTGATTATTTATTAAAATTTAATAATAATAAAATTTTATTAACCCAGCGGGGAAAATTTTATTAACCCCGCGGGGGAAGCGGGCGGGGCGGGGGCGGGGCGGGGGGAGTGGGAGGCGGGGGACGGGGGACGGGGCGGGGGATGGGGGAGGGGTCCCCCGCCGCAACCCCGCCCCGTTGCCATCCCTAATCTTGATCCCTTTTATCAGTTTAAATGTTAACCCTTTCGGCTCAAGCAAATTGCAAATAGACATCACCATACAAACACTACTATCTGCATTCAATTCCTCTTGTTCTTCTCGTTATTCATCTTTAGATGTTTAGCAAATTCCCTGTCTATATTATTACAGAAAAAAGCATTCTTGATGAAGAATTAATAGCACTACATTGGCCAAAAAAGTCATCTATTGTACTTTTAACATGGTGGAAGACTACGCAATAGGTTGCCGTTTCAGGCCCTCAGAGGAAGAACTACTTTACCTCCTCCGTGACAAAGTTACCAACCCGCGGTTCCAATATGATCAGGTCAAGGAAAAGAAGCTCTACGGGGAAGGTGCCTCACCGTGGAATGTTTTCAGCGATGATGATCTTCAGCGGGAACTTTTTGATGATAATGGGAGCAATGGTAACAAAAGAATGGTCTACGTGTTTACTGAGTTAAACAAATTGAGTGCCAAGAAGGCCGCGAGAACGGCTGGTTCCGGGACATGGGATGGAGAAGCTAAGATTACTACAATTCAGGACATGATCACTGGTGAGCAAATTGGGAAAAGGAAGATGTTAAGCTATGTTCTCCATTCGGGTTCAGAGGTAAAGAAGGGTAGATGGATAATGCATGAGTATGCTTTTGCTGGTGCTTGCTTGAATGGGATAGGTAGCAGCATCCACAATACTGATTAAGTGATTTGTAGGATAATTAGGGATGGTTCTAAAGTCACTAAGGTTAAATCTCCTGTTATCAAGAAAGATGGGAGCAAAAGAAGTAGATAATGCACGTATTATTGCTGTAACTAATTTTGTTCTCATAACAGTTGTATTGATCTCAATAAACTTTACATTTTGGAGCAAAGGCCCCTCATTTCTATACAAAAAGTGCATTAATAGCACAGGGGATTAATCCATTCCCCATCTTGTTTTGAACATTGATATTTCCTAAGGTTACACCTTACTTTTACTACTTACTATTCATGTCTTCTGCTTGTAGCTGGTCAATGTTACATCACCAGCACTCTATGGATCAATATTTTTTATTTCTTGCTGCTAGATAGTCCTATGCATTGCAAACATGAATACAGTAGTAATAAGGACTTGTTATGGTTTTATGTTCTTTAGATTGCATATATTCACAATTAGCAAGGGATCGGACCTACAAGAAGAATCTTATGTTCTTCAATTTATATATTGTCAAGCGATTTTATTCATCAATATCAAGGGATGTTCTTCATATTCCACACCATCCACCACAAGAAACAAAAGAGATCACAAAATTCCGTTCAAATACAGATCAACCAGAATTTCATTAAAAAATTTACTTGTCTAAAGACAAAACAACACCAAAAATTCAACAAGAAAACACTAACCAAAAGATTCCCTTTTCATATCATGATTAATCCTTTCAACTTTTACAGTATGAGCTCTCCAATTTTCATCGAAGTTCAAGGGAAAAAAATCAATCAAGTGACAGTGGACAATCAGAGTAACAATGGAATACAAAAGTCAGTCTATGGCTATCTTTCAACTCCTATCCTCCTCAATGTACTATCGACAAGAAGAAACCAAAAAACAGAGAGCTCAGAATTCACCACGATCAGGGGCAGGACAATTTCCGTCAACTTTTTTCTTCTCAAGTTTCATGAAAGTTGTCTCTGCAGCATCCTCATCTGTACTATCCAGTACTGGTATTATCTCCCTCACCCCATGAATTGCAATCCCTTCATTCTCGTATAATCCTGGAGCAGCAATCTCAACACCATTAATCATTACTCGATCACCAGACTTTTCGATTTTCATGCTAAGCTCCTCAACATAGTTTCTGAAAACAGTCTCATTTGCAATTCCATTGAGCTCGTTCCAGTTAAGCTTACATGGCAACAGATGCCTCAAGAATATGGAAGAATACTGGAGAAAATTCCCAGTATCCCCAATCAAAGCCTCATCCAGGGGGGCAAAAACTGTCAGTTTCATCCCATTCACAGAAGGGATTTTATGGGAATTCACGAACCCCATCAATTGCAAGTCCAGAAAAGTGGCAAAAATTGAATAACCCCGTGATTGTAGGACCCCTGATGCCTCCTCATACCGTGAAAAAGGACTGAATTCCACGCATTCTGGGTTGAGGTTTATGACCGACTGAGGAGCGGGAAGAGTGAAATTAGGCTCAAAGAAATTGTCCACTGCAAAAACCACAACAGAGCCATCATCATAGACGGGTGAGCCGGAAATCTCAACGTTGTTGATGGAAATTTTGGTGGGGTTTTCAGATGAGGTGGTGATGAAGATGGAAGCATGGGTTTTTGACAGGGTTGGGATGGGTGAAGAAAAGGGCAGAGAACTTAGTGATTGGAGGGAAAGAGAAAGTGGCGAGAAATGGAGGAGGAGCAGGGAAAGTGAAGGCTGGCCGGCAGCGGCAAACGCTGAATCCGGGGGAGTGAAAATGGTGAGAGAAGATGGGAAGCTGATGGAATGGGGTTGATCAAGGAGGAGATTCAGGGTGAGGGACATGGCATTGTAGCCCGAATTGGAAAGGGTCTCGGCTGCATTCAAAAGGGACTGTGGCGGCGGCGGCGGTGGTGGGGAGGTTGATGGCGCCGGGGATTGGAGTTGGGTGAGGGAGAAAAGGGAGAAGAGAGTGAAGAGAGAGAGGAAAACAACAAAGGAAGCCATTTTGCTCGACTGTGTGAGTGTGTGCAACTGCGCCTTAAAAGTTAAAAGGGGTAACAAAGTGCAAGATTCTTGCTCTTTCCCGCAGCTGATGAAGATTTGGCGGGAAAATGATTTTTTATGGACACGTGACGAATGCGTATTGGCTGGCTGTGTTAATTGTTAGTTACAGAGTGTCTTTTTTTTTCCCCTTTTCTGATTAGTTACCAATGCAACTCATTCTCTTCTGGCAAAAGTACTATCCGTTTATGTAATAATTTGATTTTTTTTTTCTTTTTTTTGAAATGAGTTTTAGAAGTAGTTATCTTGGATATTATTTTTCTTTTAATGCCTTTGTTTTTGGAAAAAAAAATGGTCTTTTTGCATGCGTTACTAATGATAGAACAATTCAATGTTTTGTAAATACTTTTGTTTCTGTTTTGTCCTTCTTTGTTCAAAACGGATGTAACATACTGCAGCTTCGAGCATTAATGTAGCTACCCATCCAATTTTGCTCATGAGCTGATCTTTCTGTTATTTCAAGGTCCTCTGTTCCTTCCTAGTTAACACTATAACTGCAAATCATGGCTCTTCAATTGGAAACAGAAATCTGAAAGTTTTGGTGATACTAGCTTTGTGAGTGATGTAGTAACAAAAGATATAAAATAATGAAAGAAAAGCTAGGCCTCCAACAGCTACTGTAACACAGCCATAAGAACAAACAGACTCAGAAGGATGGTGATACTAGCGGATGCTGCTGACAAACGGTGAGTGAAGCTAATTGGAAGCCTTGTAGGGAGAGAGCACTCCTCCCCATTGAAGTAAACTTTACTGGGAAATCCGTCACCACGAGGCACATTAATTCCGGGTGTCTTTTTCTTTGTAAATAATATCACAGACTGCTGCGAGCCAGGAATTGGGGGATCTTTCCTTGGTTTGCGTGCTTCCGTTTCTGCAACAAGGTAGTTTAAGCCTGGATGGCCATATAAAAATAGAGTATTGTTAGAATCAGGAATAATAGTTCCATTAAATGAATAGACTGCCTCAAAGCCAGGCATAGCTTTATCCAGTTCCACTGCAGCAGACCAATCAGCAATGCTTGTGTCTCCCCAGTTGAAGAGCGTAATTCTTGCAGTCCAGCCATCTTCAAAATCTGAAAGCAAGTGCCAGTTAATGCTGACTCCACAGTTATCTCCACAGGGCAGAGGATTGGGCAAATGGCGGTGCTTTAGTTTACTGAATTCAATGGCTTTCTTAGTTCGGTTGTCAAATGGGACTAGAAGTGCATCAGGAGGTAGAAGAAGAGCTGGTGCAGTGGCATTGCACATATTGCTTGGATTCAGGTTGCAGCCACAGGCGCAAGTGTTGCATGGAACGACAGAATCATTGAAAAATGAGGAAAATGATACGCAACAATTTGGCTTCTTCTGGGGCGTTTGTGCTTGCGAAATGTTGCATACTATTTGCCAACTAGCAACTGCTGATACGTCGGAACTTAGCCCTTGAGGATTTGGGAAAAAGCTCGAGCTCACTCGAACCGGCTGTCCACATTGATATTCAGGGCCAGATGTGCCATTAATCTTCCAGTTCATGGGAGGATATATCTGAGTCCTATTCAAGTCTGGCTTCATTTTGTAAACTTGCATTACAAACGCTGATTTCGACCTAGTCGGATCCAATGTTGGTGGCAGGAGTGATCCATTTCGACAACAAAAGGGTATCATACCAAGTTTAGTATCATTTGTTCTGTCAGGAGGGAGATCAATGATTGTTGGCCGTCTTTCACAAGTCACAGCAATCGAAAAATCAAGGTCTTTGTAGTACTCTCCCTGTGCACCAAAAAAGCATTCTTTTGTATCAAGAACAGTTGGATAAGTGCCTTTCATTTGATAGATAAATTCTTCCCTCATCCATTCCCAAGTTAACTTCCAATAATCTAGTCTGCTAATGGGGTTCTCATTGGAGATTGTGACTTGTGCCCAGTAATTTGTTTCGTAAGCACTCGTCACATCGTACATTATGCTTATATCACCAGATTGGAGGGGTGACTCCTGTTCTGTAGTGATGTTGGATCTTGCGTTTAAGTCTCTGATGCAGCAGACTTGTGTCAAATTGACTCCTGCATTCACCAAACAGGTTAGCTATCAAGAAACAAGGACAATATGCCAGGGAAAAGGCTACATAATATAGATGCAGGCTGGAATCCAGAAAGTTTGCTAGGGAAGCTTATACTGAATTACTTTTTGTCATTTTGTCACCAGAAATTTCAAAAAATCAAAAAATCTTCTTTGTGTGTTTATCTACAAAATTAAACAGTCTGGACCTGTTCAATCCTCTGCTCTAATTTAACTTTTCCCAATAATTCCCCTTACAACCTCTGTTTCCTATGCTATCCAGGATTCATACAAGGACCAAATGGAATACCAAGATCACTTTGCCGGAAGATTCTTGCAAATTTGTGAACCTGATAACTTGCAATTCTCTAGTAGCAAACAGGAGCTCTTAGAACAATACTTCGTTATCGACAAATTGAAGCTATATTTAACTGATTAAAGGATGTCTTGATACAGTAGTTGCAGAACAGTACATGCACAGAGAGATTTTATTACCTTGTGGCATGTTAGAACCGGAGCACAAGTAGCCATCATTAGCAAGACTAAGATTAGAAGGCAGGGGAGCATTAGGAGGTGCAACACCAAACTGTGTACCTACCAATTCTACCCGAGCCATCATCTGATTAAGGTCTCCAGCAGTCTCCACAGATGTCTTGAGGTCAGTCACCGGAGACCCTGAAAAAACTGCACCCTGGCTGACATTACCCGGTAAAGAAGTACCATCATCAAGCACAGCCTCAGAGGCCGAGTACAAGTATTCATTATGCTGAAATCCCACGAAAACCTTCCAATTCTTGAGCTCTTCAAACCCAGCATTGAGAACTGTTAAGGTGGATTCAAACCTGTAGGGCTGTTTATCGGGGGCACCTGGCAAAAGGGTTGGTGGGATTTGATAGCCCGTGTCATAATTATATTGTATCACTACTCCATTGCAGACACCATTTGGGGTGTTTGTAGGCTCCTGAAGCTGAGAAATTGAGGTTGGAAGTGAAATTGTGATTATTATCAGTAGCGGCAGTATTATGTGATTCAAGAAACTGAAAATTTTGGCCATGCTAGGATACTTTAGGTGAACATAAATGTGCAGACAAACTTAAGAATAGCAGAACAAGAAGAAGAAGAAGAAAGAAGGAGATTTTGTTTCTTCTGATGAAGATGAAATGTGTTCGGACTTGGATTAGTATTAGTATACTAGCAGTAATATTACGTGCATCGAAAATGATGTTTGAAGTTTCTTGGGACATTTGATATTGATGTATTTTAAATGCATGTTGCGGTAAGCCGGCATTGAGTAGTTCTTCTAATGGTGAGGCTGGTTAGCTGAGGCAAGCCACAGCAAGAGAGGAACTTGTCCTTTTTATCTGCCTTCTTGACTTTGTCTGATTCTACTCCTTGAATTCTTCCATCTTCACCTGTTCTTTAAAATTTGTTCCTTGTTTATTTATATTTTGGGATTGCTTTGTCATATCCCAATTTTCTCTTTAGAATAATGCTAATTGGAAATTACTTTCGAATGTCACTAGCCTGCAAGGAGTGAACTGGTGTTGAACTGGAAGTTGGGACAACCAAAGATAGGTAGTCTCTTTGGACGGCTTCTGTCCCATATAGCAAATTAATTCCCATATGCTAAAGATGGATGTTGATGATATGGCATGCATAGAGAACCCTTTTTCTTTTACTTTTGGGCCAACTTATCTACAATATTAAGTTTAATAAAGAAAAATAACTGTTTAACGAAAAGATTAAGGGCACAGAATAAGAATTGAGCACAATTATTCTATCTACGAGATTCTATAAAAAATTTTCGGGCGTTTTTAAAATATAGATCGCTGTCATTGTTACGTATAGATATCGAAGAAATGGTTTTCTAAAGGGATCATAAAACAAGAGATCAAGGCTCTTGAGATTGGTTTAGATACACTGTTACATACATTCATAACTTACATTTCACTTTTGATAACAACATCAAGACCTTCAACTTCAATACCTTTAGCAGATATCTCAGCAGATTCACTACAGTAATGCAACTCAAATCTCTGAAGAGTATTAATTTCCTCAATTCCAGCTGGGATTCCCTTTAGGAACTTGCAACCCCGCAAGACTAGGTGCTCAAGGCAGGGAAAGTTATCGCTCGAGGCTTCCCAGTTCTCTAGATTGGTGCTGTCAATTAGAAAGTGCTTTAGCCGACAAAATGCCTCTTCAGTTGGCTCCCAATCTGGTCCTTGGAAAGCATAATTTTTCAGTTTGAGCACTTCAAGGTTAGGCAACATGGCAATACATGCAATATCTTTCCATGGCAAGTAGCTCCAACTTAAAGTTAATTTCTTGAGAGTCAAAGGGAAATGGAGAACGCTTGGACGCAAAATTCTAGGTGCTTCTGCATTTTGTTTATAGAAGGAACACTTCAATGCTTCAAGGTACTGCAAGTTGGCAAGATTTTTGAGCCATCTGCAGGACATATCAGTAATGAAATCTTCTTTGGTTTCACAAATTCCAAGTTTCCTAAGATAAGGCATTACCAGAAAAACATCACTTGTGCAACTAGCAAACCTTATCGTGGACAGTGTCTGTAGGTATCGTGGAGCCAAGGGACAGCGAGATGGATCAAAAGGATTACTCAAATAACAGGGCATGCTGATATGCAGATGCCTTAACCATGGCATTATCCAGTATTCAAATAACAGAGTTGGGCTTTCTCCCTGATTTCTGTTGATCCAGGGACCATGGATAACAAGGGTCTGAAGGCTCCTGAGTTTAGATATTGATGCTGGAAGCTCATAAGTAGCAGTAAGCGCCAGGTATCTCAAGTGAACAAGGTCTAGTATTTCAAGTGGGAAATACTTGGAAGAAAGGAAAATTATGTCCAATACTCTGAGCAATTTGAAGCTTGAGATAAACATCGGCACAAAG